TCTCCTTGGTCCTAACATTTCCCACACCAGAGATGGACAGCTGCACAAACAACTCTAGGCCCACAGAGATTACTCAGGATGGTTGATCAGATCAAAAATGAAATCTACAGCATAGCAGGGTGGCACGGTGTTTGCATCTGATGGATGTGTATGGAAGGAAATAGTATCCCCTTAGAAAATAAGCTCCTGTCTCTCACACCATAACAAGCTAGTCTGTGTCCTTCCAGAGAAAGCGGCCAGCTCATGGCCTTCAAACCAGACTGCTTCATTGTCTAAACATCAAATGGGCAGATGTGTGAATGCCCCAGGTCTATCTCTGACTTCCTCTGGACCATTCTTATCTGTGCTGAATGGGGTTCTCCCCGCAGTGGGGAGATCACAGCCCTGGACTTCACTTTCTTAAGAACAATGCTTGGTGTATTCTCTGTAGCCACGGTCACGCAGGCATGGCTCTCCATTAAGATCCTGATTTCCTGGACGTTTGGCTTGGTTTTTTTATCGGAGAAGAATAAACGGAATTTAGTGACCTTAAATTACTAGCTCGTGGTCACCCAAGAAGCAGTGGGAAGAGATAGGCCCCAGACCGCATTTTCTGATTTCAGATCAACTTCACAAAATGTCATGAATTATTTTATTTTTCTTTGGTCTAGGAAGAGGAAAGAAAAACCACAGCTTCCTCCAGTACTTGTTCTCATGTTTAATTATCTGGAAGGCCAAATGACCCTTTGTGTAACTAAATCTTATAATGCCATTAAAGCCTTGGTCCTTTCTTGAGTTCTTTTTTGTTATTTAACAAAACTGTAGGTAAATATATATATATATTTATTTATTTATATATTTATATATGATATTACATTTATATATATATATATTTATATATAACATAAAATTCACTATGCTAAATTTATTTTAGCTTCAGTAGCATTAAATACGTGCACATTGTTACTCAAGTCAATTTTTGAAACTTTTAGTTGTAGCAAACTGAAACTCTGTACTCATTAAACAATTCCCCATTCCCAGCCCCTGGTTGCCATCATTCTTTCTGACTCCATGATTTTGACTAACTACCTCATATAAGTGGAACCAGGCAGTATTTGCTCTTTTGTGACTGGCTTATTTCTCTTAGTGTGATGTCCCTAAGGTTCATCCATTTTGTAGCATAGGATAGAATTTCCTTTCTCTTTATGGATATATAATATTCCATTTTGAATGGATTTACCACCTTCTGCCTATGATTCATCTGTTGGTGGACCCTTAGCCTGCTTTCCAACTGGGGCTATTGTGAATTGTCATTGAGTTCTTTGGAGAGAAAGAACAAATGTATATAACTCATCGTGTAATAATCCTTAATTTGCATATGAAAGCTCTTCTTATGTTTGACTTCTTTAAGGAAATCAACTATTCCTTTCTAATTTATTTTGATAATTTTGTTCTCTACAATATTCTCCATCCCTATACCTATTATAGAATTCTTCATCCCCATACCTATTATAGAATTCTTCATAATTTAGAAATGAAGTTGGAATAATCTATACTATATAGTCTGGAAATAAAGTCCTCCTCAGGCCTCATCTTCCCACCTTTTAATTCTCACCTGCTTTACCTTCATGGAAACATCATGTGTCTTCTCTCACACCTTGTTCTCCCATAGCCTGTCTGATATTTCTTCAAACCTCTCCTGCTACTTAAACAGACTTTTCACTGCCCATCCTGGGCCATGTGCTTACACAGAATCAAGTCAAAACATGGGCCTTACTCAGATTTTTTAAAAAAGGACAATTTCCAAGTTTTCCAAAACACCTGAAATGCAGTATTGAAATTTACATGTGCATTTTGTATTTTTGTGAAAAGATGAGTACTTTGGGGGAATACTAAAATCAAAACTGCAATGATGAAATGATCTAAAAATTGAAAAAAGGATATTATAATGTAAAGAATCCTGCAGTGTGACCATTTTTTTAAAGCAACTTTCTTTACAATCTAAACTTTGTTTAGGATTTATTTAGACTATCACTTTATCCTTTTTGACAAAAGTAACCTGCAGGCAGCTTGTAGTTCAGCCCAACTCTCCCCCCACCCCATGCTAACCAGTTGGTTCTCCTTCTCCTGCAGATGAGAGTATATAGTTCATGTGTTTTCCTTTTAAAATCCTATTTTAGCTGCTTCCTCTTCAAACTCCTATTTGGGATAGCCCTTTTCCCTACTCTATTAAAATAATTTAAAGTATGGCTTCTTTTTTTTTTTCAGAGATCATAGTATTTTGTGTGTGGGGTGGTGGCAGCAAAATCTATAGCTTCAATCTCTGAGAGGAGTGGTAAGTGTACTTATCCCCCCACCCCCCAAGGGAAGCCATCCAGGAGATCCGGAGTGAAATCAGCTATCAAGACTTTAGATTTTGGCCAAGACTTGAAATAAAGTAGTCAAAATCAAAGATTATAGGAAAGAAGAAGGAATGCTGACTTATTATATACTTTTTAATCAACAATTTTCTTTCTTATCACTTCATGTATTCGATATTTGCTTTTTTTATAGCCTGAAATTTTTCCATGCATTTGGACAAATTTCAGAGAATTTCAGCCATCTCTGCATGGCTGAAATTTCATTTTGTCTTTTTGTGAAAGACAAAATTGGATACTAAAATCCAAACTGCAATAAGAAAATAATCTAAAAATTAAAAAAAAAAGGATATTACAATGCAAAGAAGATTACTCTGACCAACTTCTCAGTTCTAGGACCAGAGTCATACAATGGAATAGGCATGCATAGGTGACAAAGGACAATGTGTGTCCCCTCTCTAACTCCCTGTTCTTTGTTTAATATACCCAAACTTTAAGGTATATTTCATAGTGGCTAGTGAGGAACGTCACAGTTATGTTAAAAAAAGAAATTGCAAACTTCTTTTAACCATTTTCTTTTAACCATATAAAAATCAAATATCTAATGATCTTTTTACCCTCTCCCCCAAAAGATAAAATTAACCTCATTGAAATTGCCGAAAAAAATGAAAGTAGCAGAAAAACTGTGTCATTAAGAGGAAAGGATTATCAGTGACAGGTCATCATAAAAGTTGCAGGATTTTTGTCAGATAATCATGCAGATGGAGTATTTACAAACCAAGTGATATGCTAACCTGTGTTGTCAATATAATCCAGTTGACATGGTGGAGCTATGGAAATGAGGGGATTGATAAATGAAAAAGGTTATAGTTTTTAATTTTTGAAGCTGAATGTAAGGTACCTGTAATTCAGTTTACAATTTTCTCTACTTTTATGTTTGACATTTTCTACAATGGATGCTCAATAAAGGGTGTAAGCAGGACATAAGGGCGTAAGTGGTACAAAATTTGAGGCAGTTACAAAGCCAAACTCACAACACAATATATGTCCTTTCATTGCAAATGCATTGCAGACGCTGATTACAAAATTAATAAGATGATGAATTAACAGATTTAAAAATAAGCACACCCCTGGATAATGCTTGCCTGAATCAAGAGGGAAATCAAAACTGTAAAATGTAATCACTAAATATTGACTTAGTTACCATAATAACAAGAATGCATGTCAAAGCTTTGGGGATTTTTGACCAAGACTGTACCTGAAGAGAAAAATATAGCCTGGAAATGCTTTTATTACTTAAAAGATAAATTGGAATCAATGAGGTAAGTATCCATAAAATAAATTTGAAGAACCATAAAAATATAACTTTAAAAAATAGACATTAGAAAAATAAAAATGAAGATCAGTGTATTAGAAAAGATAATTGAACCAAGAAGGCAGAAGGAAAGGAAAAATAATACAAAAACATGGTTGAGAATGGGGATAAAACTCTAGCTACTTAGTGAATGACTTTGGAAAAATAATGATTTCCCAAATCAACAAAACACAAGGCAGAGCATTGCAAAAGGCTAATACATATACAAGAAAGTGAGAAAATATTTAAAGATCATATTATCTTTGCTACTTTTATTCCCCAGAATAGGAATATGAAATGGCTTTGTAGATGACTGCCAAGAAACATTTATAGAAAATTATTTTGTTAAATTTTTAAAAGACACAGAAAAATATGGAATGGTTTCAACCCATTTTATATGTAGAATAGTGTAGAATAATTTATAGTCTAACAATTGATTAAGCTATAAACAGAAGAAAAATGTCAGGAACATTTCATTAATGAATGTGAATGAAAACTTCAAAACAAAATAATGACAAGTCAAATCCAAAACTATATGCAACTAACAGCACACCATCAACAACAGAGTTTATTCCAGGAATAAATGTAAATGCAATATAAGGATATTTATAAGTGGGATTCTTTTTATCAATAGATCAAAGGACAAAACACATTGAGTCATAAATAAATTTCCCAAATTCATCTTATCTAATATTGATTGGAGCAGCATCTATTTCTTAGAAAACTTGGAATTAGAAAGACAATGCTTTAATGTTAGGAAAAAATACACAGCACATATTTCAAATAAATATTGCCTTTAATGGAACCGTATTTAAATCGGAAGAACAAATTAGGTTTTCTCTCTCCTGCTCATGTTTTTTCCCTATATGCCCTGCAGCTCTGTTACCTAGTACCAGAGTTAATCTGTACATTCATTTCTGTGACCTGATGCTCTTACACTTTGGGGCTCTTATTAAATAAAATACAGGTTATTTGAACAAAAAGCACTGCCAAATGTGACAGTCAAATTGTTAACTAAATTTGCTACCAAGTGACTAATGGATAGGAATGCTAACATCTTGGCTACCCTGGGCCAAGGAACAATTCATATCCTGGGCAAGTCAGAGTGGGACATGGTGAGATTTCATCATGCTACTCTGGATGGCATATGATTTACAATTTATGAATTGCTTAGTTCTGGAATTTTCCATTTAATATTTTTGGACCATAGTCAAGGGCAGGTAAATGAAACCAAAAAAAGAAAAATGGTGGATAAGGGAGGAAAACTCTATGTTATGATATCATGTTAAATATCATTGCTTTGTCCATAGGAATACCCTGAGAGAAATTACTGGATTCTTGTGTCAGGGACAAGATGGACAGTCACCAGGAATAGAATAAAATATGGATAAGAAGAGCATGAATATGTTAATACCATCTCATAGCAGTGTAATTGGGTTTATTACTGCTCTATCCAGACCCTGTGGGATTTCTATTCAAACATAACAAAATGGTTCTATTACTCATCAGGAAGAATCAACAAGACAAAAATCATCACAATCATGTTAAATAGCAGAGTATTCTGATTCACCTAAGAATTTGACCAAGGTTATTTTCTCCCAGCATTGTAGATCTATAATAAAAAATGAAAACTTGGGCTGAGGCTGTGGCTCAGAGGTAGAGGGCTGGCCTAGCATGCGTGAGTCACTGGGTTCCATCCTCAGCACCACATAAAAATAAAATAAAGATATGTGTCCATCTATAACTAAAAAAAAAATAAATATTAAGATAAATAAAATAAAAACCTCAACAGAGTACTTATTCTGTGCCTGGGGCATATTTCTAAGCTATTGAGGTATATTTATTTACTCAATTAATCATCTCAACAACTGCATGAAAAAGGCGACATTATTCTCCACTCTATGCATGTGGCACCTAGAGGTCAGAGTGATTATGTGACTTCTCCACAGTTAGTAAACGGGGAGGTGCAGTTGGAAAACCCAGGAAGTCTGGATTAGATTGCACGTGGAGCTGCCTGTCCTTGGAACCACCTCTGTATGTAAAGGTAAAGCTCTTCAGTCACTAACTTAGATACTTCTCTGCTTTCCACAGGGACCTGATGCCCAGGACCCTGGACGGGCAGATCACCATGGAGAAGACGCCCAGCTACTTTGTCACGCGGGAGGCGCCCGCACGCATCTCCGCCATGTCCAAGGACACCAAGCTCATCGTGGTGGTGCGCGAGCCGGTGACCAGGGCCATCTCGGATTACACGCAGACGCTCTCCAAGAGGCCCGACATCCCCACCTTCGAGAGCTTGACGTTCAAAAACAGGAGCACGGGCCTCATCGACACGTCCTGGAGCGCCATCCAGATCGGCATCTACGCCAAGCACCTGGAGCACTGGCTGCGCCACTTCCCCATCAGCCAGATGAGCGGCGAGCAGCTCATCAGCGACCCGGCCGGCGAGCTGGGCCGAGTGCAGGACTTCCTGGGCCTCAAGCGCATCATCACCGACAAGCACTTCTACTTCAACAAGACCAAGGGCTTCCCCTGCCTGAAGAAGGCCGAGGGCAGCAGCAAACCCCACTGCCTGGGCAAGACCAAGGGCAGGACCCACCCCGAGATCGCCCAGGAGGTGGTGCAGAGGCTGCGCGAGTTCTACCGGCCCTTCAACTTGAAGTTCTACCAGATGACAGGGCACGACTTCGGCTGGGATGGATAACAAATATAATTTAAAAAGAAAAAAAAAAGAAAGTATGGAAATATAATATATTTTTTTACCAATCGGTAGAGAAAAGGCAGTTTAATATTTGTGCTGACAATATTTGTTTCAGTATTTTTTTGCAATGAATGATTGTTCACTTCTCCTCCCCATCTTAATGTACAATCGACGTCATGCATTTGGATAAACAGAAAAGGAAACCTTCTCTCCTATAAATACGTTCAATTTTATTTTATGTTCTACATACCCAGTCATCAAGTATATGCATTTTAATTTCCATTAAAAAAATTTTGAAGAAAATCATGAGGGTAATCTCCCCCCCCCACCACCATCCCTTTTCTCTCTTTCTTTAATACAAGATATAATTATATCCTGATAAAATTAATATCCATCCTTGTGTTTTTCTCCCTTCTTCCTCAGCCACTTTTTTTCCCCATAAATCATTTATCATTTAATAACACTATATGTTTGCACATCACTTCAAGGTTTTTATAGTGCTTTCAGATACATGTTTTGATCCTTATAGGACTAAGGTTGGTATAAAAACATAGTACATGGAGATCATAATCTCAGATTTTACAGGTAAGGGAAACTGAGTCTCAGGGAGGTTAAATGACGTAAGGCCAGATGATGAATCCCGGACAAAATCCCATTTTCCGTTTGTTTTCTATTCTGTGCCACTTTTTTTCTAGGGAGAATGAGAACTAAACTTTCCAGTTTAGAAGTTAGTTTTAGGATGATCTGAAAAGGGATAGACAGAGATTTCTTATTGCTTTCTAAGTTCCAGGCTAGCCTTATGGAATCCAGTATCATTACATAGTTGTACTCCAGAAAACCACTAAGACCTGGACACAACCTCTTTGGAGAGCCAGTCTTAGCTATTGACTGATCAAAATATTCAAAAATTTAACTGACCAATACTTGACTTGAGTTTGCCAGAAATCACTGGATTCTTGTATTTTGAGCTATCTTTTTTTTTTTTTTTAAGTGAGACCCACTTCAATTAGAACCTCCAGTACCAATCTCATTTTTCCTTCTCTGTCTTTGAAGAAAGAAAATCTACCTTTCTTTGTAATATCTCACTGTTAACATTGGAGCTAGTACTAAAGAAATGATCAATTAACAGCTCATTAACAATGCTCTTATTTTTCATGGGTGGAGGGCTGATACTTGGTCCCTTTATTCTTTCTTTCTCCATTTCCTCTTTCTACCAATTATCACCTACTGCTCATTCACATTTGGAAAATAGTCTTAAGACATGCAGTTCTGGGTAAAATGGTGACTTTCCTCTTCTCTCGTCTGTTCCTCATCTTCCCGCATTTAAATCACTCAAATAAATCAAGAGTTTATTAAGAGTATTCCTTTGCTCTCTGAGTGGTATTAACAAGATTAGCATTAATGGGAATTAAATTGGTCTAGAGAGGAGCACATATGCACGAAATATATAAAACATTTATAATTAGCCTGTCAGCAACGTTTTAGTATATATTTAAACCCAAGAGGAAAAATGTCTTTTTTTCATGGAAGTTTCCTTTATCTGCCAAGATTTGAAGGACCAGATACTCTAGTATGAAAAAATATTGTTTATTCTCCAATGTTGTCCATCAAAAACAAACAAAATTAAGTTTTTTTTTTTTTTTTAAATATGCTGTGCAATTGTGCATTTATCATAAATGCTACATCCGGGGATGTAAATATCTCTTGAGAAGCCTAACAGAGGATTAAAATGAAGGAAAAAAATGTTTTAATTTTCCAGATATTTTGTCATTGTTCCAAATCTTTGGGTTTATTTGTTAATATTTCATTTATGGGAGTTAAGTAAACCCCAAAGCCAGGTCACCTTTTCTCAGTTGAAGTCCTTCACTTCTGTGCCCTCAGTTTTCCAACACTTACAGCCTGTTTGTGTACTACTTGAATGTCGCTAGCAACAAGAAGATATTTATTTTAAACTCTCCTCATCTTTTAACTCATTTTGTCTGTGCTTCTGAATCGTTTGTGTTTGTTTGCTTGACATTATGCAAAAAATGACTTGCACAAAGAGACAATTGCATCTAACAATTTCGTTCAGTAACCTTCCTCTTTTTGTGTGGAAGAAATAATAAAAGATCAAAAATTGAGTGCTGAAGATCTCTTCTTACTCATAGATGTTTTTGTTCCTGTTATTTTTAAAAAGAATGATTACAGAACACTGCAGGAAAACTGTCAAACTTCTAAGATTTCTAGGAGAAGTGTTTGAAGTTATAGGTCTCAGCAAAATGTAAAAGGATCTAGACTCACTATCCTTTAAGTTTCACCCACAATAGGACTGTTCCATTTTCTGCCTTCAATATGGTTGTTACTCCTGCTGTGCATGGAGTTGGTCTCCCTTTTTTTTTTTTGTCTATTTAGCTGCACCAAATAATAAAATGTTTGGTCTTGAATGGACCGTTTTAGCCATACTTTCTCCAAGTCATCTTCTCCAAAGTCATGACTACCAACGTCCTTCAGTCTTCTTAGAGGTAGAATATCTTTGCAGGAGAATATCCAGAAAAGGTCTACAACTTCAAGCTGAACACTTTGCTTGTGAGACCACATATAGACATGGACAGCACATAGTTTTAAAGCAAGTCAATTTTGTTCTAACAACTGGGTATCAATAAGCTTCTAGAGAATGGGTATTTACTATTCTGGAAAGATTAATCCCACACTATTTTTATTTCCCTCCCACAGGGTCTTCAAAGCTAGAATAAACCTCAGTGGTAATTTGGATCAAATATCCATTTCACACTCAAATCATAGATGTGTCTGTAAATTCTTAACTATTGATTTTGCAGTTAAAAAGGGGATACATTTCTCCTGAACACCCTCATCATGTTCTGCCATCTGAGACCTGTTACCAGTGAAGATTTCTTAAAGGCAATGTGAATAAACAAATGTGCCTCTAAAACAGTAACCCCTAATATTTATGTAACAGATGCATCATTTCACCTTTAAAAAACAGCCTCTCTCTACTTTCATTAGGGTCACTTTACAGAACAGGGGAAAGTCAGGCTGAAGACTATGGTTAACAAAAGGAGTTTTGCATCCCAGGGAAAGGTCTGCATGTGAAGAGAGGCCAGGAGTGCTCCTAAACCTGATTTAATGCACACACCAAGCCCCATGACAAAGAATCATCTCAATCAAAATGTTAGTCATGCTGAGGTTTTCCTGGTTTAAAACAAGGTCAGTCACACACGTAGTATGTATGCGAACTAGATCTAAAAGCCACTTTCTAATTAATGGTGATTCTTGCAATTGCCATTTTAATGTTTCTTTCAGAAGTCACAATAATAACAGCATTTAATGTTGTGCTTTGCCATCAGGAATGTTAAAGGAAACTGAAATGGATTTTTACATTGGATATATAGGAGTAGCTCATAACAAATGGATAACTGCCTTTCTGTGGAGTGGAATCAGTCAGCTTGAGGTGAAGAAAAAAAAAAAAACACTCCAACAAGTATTTCTAAAGGCTCTTTCAAGTTCATGTCTTGCAGTTTCTATTTGCCTCCATGACAGTGCAGTGACAATATTTCTTGTCACCTGAAAAAAACAAAAGTGTGGAGAGAGAGAGAATTAAATATCTCCACTTTTGTTAAACAACTAAATTCAGATGGGTGTGCTATGGTTACAGATATCCTCTGGTTGCTAAGTAATAACAGAGGAAAGCAAATTCCTGGTGCACATATCCTAGAAAGGCAGAACTTGGTGCATAATTCTATAGAATCGGGGAGAGAAGAAAGTTATGCTTCCCAAACAGGAAGAGAGTTTCTGAAATTCAGTGCAATGCAAACCTCGATGTAGAAATAAAATTGGAACCTGTAATCATTGAAGAAGAGTGGGAATTTAAAATACCATACCTTAAGCTCTGTTGGAGAAGCGTTGGTGTTATTGTAGAATCTGTGGCCCTTGAAATATCTGCAACATGCAAAATAGATTTGCATTCAGCGTCTCCATTAGACGGGAGAAGAACACGAATAGGGAAATTATAAATCTGTTTGTTACATAATGGAACGTGGAAATGGCAGGTCTTCCCTTTAAGGCTTGAAAAAGGATGAATTTGGGGAAATTATGAAGCAGTGCAATGTTATACGCAAAGCAATAAAACGCTGGAGTTTAGTTATGCCAGGAGGAAATAAAACTGTAAATAGAAATTGCTCCTTATATATGGATCTATTGTGGGATATTAGGAAACATTAGGATGTTTCAGGCTATAACCTGGATTTGTTTAGTTCAATTTCCAACTGTTCGTGATGTTCTTTTAACAGCTATATGCTCAACTACTCACTTTCCTCTAGTCTTACTGTCAAGGGAAAAAAAATGTGATGATAAATGGGGAGCATATGTTCTATTGTGAATTCTTTTTATCCCAAAATATCTGGGGATGATGTTTTAGGTAGATTTGAAGGAACAGATAGGATAAGATATGGTTTTTTGTTAGCTTTGCTGGGTGGTGCATGAGGAGGCAATGTTTGGTGCTTGGTGCTAACTTGATCATTCTTAAGGTCCCTAGACTGGTAAACTATGGTCCATGTACTCCAGACCTCTCTCGCCAAAGCCATTTTACCGTAAACCTAGACTGTTAACCCTCACTCCCCACTAGGGTCTTGCTTCATTGCAAATGCAGTGACATTTCCCCCCTATATTCATGCTTTCCTCACGTTCTGGTCCTTCTCCCACCCCATGCCCTGCTGACGACCAGTGATGATTGGCATCCCAGCCTCTACTGGCCTGCATTCTTCCCTCTCTTCAAGTGTGCCATATTTGGCGATGTGCATTTCCTATTCAGATTCCTGGGGATATCTCTGCAGTCCATCTTGAGCATCTGTTCTGAGTTTCAGCTCTAGAAAAAATCAGTCTCAATATCTGATATTAATACTCAGGGGGAAAAAGTCAAATAGATTTAACTTTTCCCAGAGGTATTGTCATTTAGGGAAATAGGTCCTAAAGGAAGATGGATGAAACAGAATATGAAAGTACTATGCACTTTTGAGATAGGAGATGAGAATGTTGTTGGAAGGGGCACTTACCTGGCTTCCAGTACCTACCTCTCCCCTCTGGACCTGGGAACCAGAGGCAGAAATTTGTCATTCCACTTCTGAAAGGTTGTCCGCCTGTGATTTGGGCAGTAACACTTTTCTTCCACCTGTTTACCCAGAAAGCCTTATCTAAGCTCAGATTTCTTTATTTCAAGCCTGCAACAGCTGGTGAACCAGAGAACAGTAGGAAGCAAGGAAACTTTATAGGCATTTCACTGGAACTTCTCAGAAGGAACAAGGGCATTTGATTAAGGACCATCCACCAATACCTTTACAGTCGAACCTAATTCTTGTTTCTGACAACTTGATCTTACTCCTAAATCCCAGATCAGTTTTTCTTTGTTATAAATAGTCCAAGTAATAATAATCTATAATGGTATTACCTGACCTTTCTATAGAATGATTCAAAGCATGTTTCCATTGTACTTTAGACTCAAAACTGTTTCCTTTGTCCTTTCCTTCTAAATTAAAAAAAAAATTGATATGATCTTTTGTAGCTCTTTCCCATTTCAAATAAACCTAACTAAATTACTTAATAAAAGCAACTTTCTCTCCATCTGTCTTGCTTCCATTTCTCTTCAGAATAAACTTTTACCTTTCAATATTTTCCCATATCAAAATCCTTATATCAAAAGTCTTCTTACATATTTTTTTTGTATTCTACCTTGCTTCTCAATAAGACCTCTAATAGTTACTTTTTGTAAGAATCTGGTCCAAAATGATACTTTACTTTTCACTTTAAACTGCTTTGTTTTTAATTCAACTTTTTTGTTGTTGTTGTTCATCTTTTCTCCTATCATGACTTTGCATTTTAGGAATAGTTCTCTTTAGAGAAAAGTCTCTCCTGCTTCCCACTAGCCTTCAACTCTATGGGATTTCAAAGTTTCTTGTGACTGTAGCATTCTTATCCCCTCTGCTGTGCTGAATTGGAAAATCACCAAACAGCACTGGCTTCCCGATGGTAGATTCCACAGTGAAAAGGTCCAGCTATTCTTCCATCTAGACATAAATAATGAGCTCTTTTTCAGACTCTTTGGCCCTGGCTATCTGATGAGGCCATTAATAAAAAGTTATGCATCAACAGGATGATAAATTCTATTATACCAAGCCATATATAATGAATACACAGAAAAATTGGAAACAGATCTGTTTTGACCAGCCTCTGTCTTCTGACTTAGGTTGCAAATCTCCCACATGGTTGCAATGCCCCTCATCTGTTTCCTTCATCATTCTTTCAATGCTTGCTCCCAGTTACCTTACCATTTGGGTCTCTGCTTGTTCATGTCCATTCCTTCCTGTGATGTTTTTATTGTTTAATGGCCCCCTGTTCAAATTTCTGCATCCTGTCTTCAACATTATGTTATGGCCCTTATTTATGCTATTGCCATGATGATGTTTTCCGGGAATCTAAAATTGGACTATTTACCTGTCCCTGATACTCACCCTCTACATGAATTCTTCTCTACTTATCATACATAGTAGTGAATAAAACATCTTCATATGTTTATTAAGCTTATGTGGCACTCTACTCTGTATTTATCTTGAAAGATGAAAACATGGCTTACCTATATCACTTTCTAGGTCCCACCTCCCTTTTAATTTTCTTAGATTCACCAGCTCGAAATGTGCCCTCATGATAAAAGTACGTGGCATGTGGATAGTCTTGTGAGTAGCTCTGATTTATCCACAGAGAGCCAAATCTTGCATGAATCACTCAACATCACTGACCCTTAATTTTTTTTTCATTAATTAGAAACAATAAAGAAGAGTTTTGGTTGTGCTGTTAAGTTCTTTCCAACTGCAACAGGTCTGGAAACGTTTATGAGAGGGACTGTCAGGAATAATTACTTTCCTTCTGTTTTTTTTTAAATTATTATTATTAAATCAGTCACTCTTTCCCATAGGCTACTGGAAACTGTGACCAAAAATTTTGCTTTTATTACTAATAATCAGTGCTAGCTGACCACAGACCTTTGTAGAATGTGACCATATCTGTCAATGTTGTAGGAGTGGTTACCACCATTGAATGGTGTGTTTCTTCCTATTTTTTTTCTGAAGTCTTGACATTATT